GTCGGTAATTTATCCTTCGATCTTGGTTTTTCAGCCTTCATTCGTAGTATCCTACCATTCGTGTCAATTCGTTTACTTATTGGCACATAGGTATGTCCTAACAGCTACACTACATTTATCCATTCACAAAGGGTGTGTTGAAAACGCTCGACAGTTGACGGTGGGAAACAATCTGGACAAGAACGGAACACGGAACCGAACAAGCCACAACTGAAAATTGGGTCAGCACGTCTGTATGTGTCCATGCATGTGCATATACCATGTAATGGAGCGAAATTCATCAAGGGATCATTGGTTCAATGTTTTCGGTTAGTTTGAACACCTGGTTTAGCAGTGGATGAACCATTTCGTGGATCATATTTAAGATTGAGGTTGGTTGTTTCGTGCTTTGTTTTTCGGAAACTGGAAATCTCAGTTCCATGACTCGACCGCCGTGGAACGTTTTTCCGATCTGGGCAATTACACTTCACATTCGGCTTTGCTGTGAACACGGCTCATTAGTGGTGTCATTTGTTCGATCATTGCCATCCTGCAGTGCAGCTGAACTCAGTGTTTTGACAAATTATTTCAATTAGTGAAATCCTGGATCCTGAGCGATATTTAACCGATTTTCTTTAAATGTTCTCATAACTTGTGTGAGGACTAAAATAAACCTATAAACCCCAAACGTGGTCAAACAGTAAAGGTGGCAAATTATCACCCTCGGAGGACGTGTGTTCGAAACGCACCATCACTACCGTCTGACTTCTCCCCTTCTCTGTATAGGGCGGCCCTTTGATTGTCCGATTCCCCCTTCCAGAAATAAGTGTTTCGTTGTTTATTCAACAAAAGGGAGTATAATAGAAAGAAAAATGATTACGTCTGGATATTCAATTTGGCATATGCCCGTGTATGGCCCCTTCTTCAATCCAACAGATGAAGCTTTCACCAGGTTCAAAATTATAATCGGGAACCGCTCAGTGCAATTTCAAGAGGATATGTCCCAAAGGTTTGAAGGGCCAGCAGTGAATAGGCCACCGATACCCACCTCGGAAGATGCCTACCACTTGGAATTTTAACCTCCATTGGGCTTCTCATGATAGACATGATCAAATTCTGATTGAAAGCGCTCCAATGAAACCAGATTTATAACAATACACTTTACTCATAACATTTTCGAGAGAAGTTAAACTATTCTGCGGTGTATTTTTCATAGTGTGGCTGAATGTGAAATGTACAGTTTCTCGAGGTTAAAGGACGTCCTAGGGAGGTCGAGTCACCGGATTGAGAGATTTGTAATGTCAGGCAACAATGCATGAAACAAACTGTGCACTTATAGAGTTTGCGGAACGAAATTACGGACGCGCTATGCTAGGCCGTGTGTACTCGACTTAGTGTTTCGTTGCTCCAATAATCCGCTCGCTGAATTTCGCTTCCATTCCTCATAGGTGTACGTGCGCAGACACGCACATTGACGCACGGACTCAGTTTTCAGTTGTGGCTTGTTCTGTTCAGTGGTTTTTGCCATATTTGTCGGCATTAGTTCCCACCGTCAGTCGTTGACCATTTTCAAAACACCCTTTTTGATCGAATTTCGAATTTGTTCTGAGGCTAAAATACCATGAGTGAAGACCAAAGAGCTAACAGTGAAATATAAATTACCACGGGGAAATATTATAGCGTTAACTGCTTGTCGATTGCGTAACTGAATGAGTTCATCGGTTCCATTTCGGTCTGGATGAATAGTGACGTAAATAAGTGTATCAGTATAGGTTTATAGATCCCCCTTGGTGATGTGATCACCCGTTCATGGCCGATGACAATCCACGTTCTATTCGCGACACAAGCCAGAGGCCTTATTTTTTGTACACAGTTCCGATCTCCCTCCAATTCGAAAATATGTGGGACAATCACAACTGTACAAATTATCCATCCGCCTGCAAATAGTTCGATTCCAGACACATTACATTCCTAGTCTCCGATCTCATCTGACCGGAGGAACTAAGACACGTTTCGCTCGCCGATCTGATCACTCTGGGGGAAAACTGTGACATATTAGCCACGCATAAAAAAATACTAGGCACACAAAAAACTGTGCGGTTCTTCCAATTATTTTATATTTCTTTGTCAGTCTTCTCGTCTGCCCATTGGGGTTTGATAAAAGAGAGCAAAATTTTCTGCATTTGGATCCGTTTTTTAAGTTGCTGTTGTTGGTTTTGTTTTAATTTACTCTCCATGTTGCGCTAGACAACCACACACTTCTGCGGTTAGAAGACTGAAACTCCAAACGATCAGAGTGTGCATTGACTAAAGTATAACGTGTATATAAATAGAACTTTTGATCGGATTAATGCTGAACAGTGTCTGGAGAGAACAAATAAGAACATGAAAGCTGCCCTGTATCGCATAAGAAAACGGTAAATGGCGAGTCATGAGGTAATATCTGGACAGCAACTAAGACTCACGTAAATAGTCCAATTCTTCTCGCAGGAAGCACGACTGAACAAAGTTAACCCCAAGAAAAATGACAAACAAATAAACAAAGTTGACGAATACAAATCCAACAAGCATTCGATCACTCGGTCTATAGAACTCCGCACTATTATGAACAGTGTGAATCCCCGTTCGGTTTTAGATCGATAAATTTCGTTTTATTTTGTTCAACTTTCATTGAGTTACAGCCCGTCTAAAGCCAGTCTATTCGCAGCGTGGCTTCAAGGCCATGCAGGTTGAAAAATTCAAGGATGTTACTTATGTATCGAATATCTGACAGAAGTCAACGGTACAAAATTGAACAACACAAATGTACCAGTAAAAGTATCGAAAGGCACCATGTTTGTAATTGACGGTAATTGACGACGAGGCTGTCTAAAAAATTGTTTGAACAATTCTCCTACCCCCCCGACTTACTTCATACAATCTTTAGTCTTTTTCAAGCGATTTGCTCTTGCCAACTGAGAATATTTTTTTATTGGGCTTATGTCTTTGAGCCCATGCACTAGCGAAACGTGCCCAATAACGCACCCCTGTTTTGTACTGTTCGACTACCGTTTGACACAACCCAAACTTCGCAATCAACCTAGATACCCAGACAGAAATCATATCGATAAAAGATCCGTTGCCTCTCCGGCCAAATTCATTTGCGCCCATTGATTCAGTTGTGGACAGTCGGTCATCTACATAACTAGGGCAGAGATTCAGTTACCCCACCGTTTAGGCGAACACATCCCGGTATGGTTGATGAAGGCGATAAATCGGTGGAATACGGTGCATTTCATGGTGCGCCGAATAAACGATTCGTGGATTTGAAATGCCAGAAAGCCTTCCGTGTACTCTATATACGGCCATCCGTTGCTTCCATGTAACAAAATTCGCAATAGTTGAGTCATCAACTGAACAGGAAAGAATCAGATTTTAGACCACCCAACTTTCAAACGAAGACAAACACGATCAATACCAATCATAAAATAATCGTCAGAGTACTCAAATGTATGCTACAGCTATTCGCAATCACAAACCTAATCTATTCAAACAGCATGAATGGCTTATTGCGTTAGCTTCACCTTGAACTACCCGCTCCTTTTGTTACTCGGTTGCTCAGTGTCATTGGCAACGTCGCGTTCGTTTAACTTTCATTATTTTACTAATTATAAATAATAATCGGACTGTAGATAGCATGTGCTACGTGCACACGCGTCCATCCGTTCCCATCTGTCGTCTAATACGGCAGTCCATAATAAACACTGATCAATACTCCTTCAGGCAATTTGTCCATGAGCCTATCGTAAAAAACTGAGCATTCACTTTGCGATCAGATTTAGGAATTAGCACTATGTAACAAAACCATCCTGGATTTGTTCTGTTTTTTTACTGATTGTGACATCTATATTCAATTTTTTGACGAAAACAGTGGTTCGAGTTTATCAATCGAGTGAAGAAGTCTGCTACCGATAATTTCCCAATGCATATCGTTTATTGTGAAAAGAATGGCATTTTTACCACGGTAGAGTAGGTTGAGGTGAACAGTTTTCAATCTGAAAATTGGTGGAAGAAAAAAAGAAAAGAAAAACTTTTGTCACATTTTTGAACAACAGAAATGTGTTCATTACATTTGCTGTGATAGGGAATCGGATCGAACAGTTCTACCGTCCATGTCCAGCTCATCGGTTCCCATCTGACTAGAATCATCTGTTGATGCAGCCGGATTCCCGTAGAAACGTGTCCTAAATTCGTCAGCACTGCAATGAATTGCTTGTTCCGCACACGAAGGTCGGCAACAGTTGAAGGTGATCGGCACTTGTTTGTACCCCGCCAGATCTACACAATGCTGACACACTAGAATCCCCGGTCCAAATCGTGCCTGCGTGCACCAGCAACACGAACCAGATCGAGTTCTGGAGGAAAAAAAGGAGGGGAGCATAAGAGCTCAACAACAACAACAACAACAACAACAACAACAACAACAACAACAACAACAACAACAACAACCTGGTTTCGTGTTCAAACACTGATGCTTCTAATTTCATTTCACATTTTGTCATCATACCAGATAAAAATAGACCAAGAAGTATCAAGCGGACTACCAGTAGTATCGATACACCATACTGTTTACAATCTTGACAACGAAAGCAGGGTAACTCCAGATAGATACTCAGATTAATACTCCGCTAAGTTGCAAGTCGTGACTATCCCTAATCGGGCCCACTGGAGGAGGTATTTGAACTGCTCCTTCGGACGGTGATGGTGGTCAAGTGAGTCAAGTGCATTCGAATCCTAGCATCGCTGCCTGACTTCCCGACATTTTTATGTCCCTTAGCCATCGTTAACTGTCAGAGTCTTACTTTGTTACGGCACATCTTTCTGTGATGAACGGTAGCTGTCAAATCCAAAGTCACTAGGACTTACTGCTTGCTAAAAGAGGCCGGCAAAATAAGCTCCGGGACTGGAAGTAGTAAACTACATGATGGTCCATCCTGATAGGTGTGGTTTTAAGCCCGGAAGATAAAGAAGCTACTGGTCACCATAGCTGGGTGTTGTTGATAGGGTTTCGCACCTAGGACGCCAATACGCGAAGCGCATCAGAAACACCGATTCACCACCACCATCCAATGAAAACCGATTATGTTATTGCCTGTTACATGAAAAGAAACAGAGGCAATTGAAAAATCACAGAAAACATATCTGATCCGTCTGCTTCATGTAAAAAGCACAATTCTGAATTATTTTATTTATGTTTGAGGTTAGGGTCGAGACAAATACAAATCGAAAGTTACTGAGGGAAGAGAATATCTACAGAAGTTAATTCAAGTCAAGCCTCTATTTTGTATCACTCAAAAGTGAAGAGTTAACAACTGCCATAAAACTTGGAGGTGGTATAAATAAAATGATCTTTTACAGAATATAACACAACTGAAAAAGATGCTAGGTTTACTGTGCAATTAATTTATGGGGAGTAAGCTCGGTGTTGCGAAAAACCTCTAACCAGGTATGACTTCACCGAGGACAGGTGTGTCGTGATAGGGACGACGACTGTAGGTGCCGAACATACGAAAGAAAGTCTGCTACTTTTCGGAAAGATAACAGAAGTATGGTCTGGTCATTTCGATTTATTGTGACATCAAAACACTTGATAAAGGGCATTTGGTAAGGAGTTGATCTTGTGCACAGCACACCGTACAGGTTTGACTGTTGGATATAATGTGGAAAGATTGCAGCTCGGGAAGTTTGACCGTATGGACTACCCGTTTTGTCGAAACCAGAGCATTTCAAAGGATTCAAAGCTGGAGAAAGAGGGTATACCACGATGACCAGTGAGTTGTTTGAAAAATTCTACTTTGTAGAGCAGAAAACAACGGGTCATCTGAACATGACATTCCAAAATCGATGTCATCGGCGCATTTTACCGTCAAAGATGAAAGCATTTGAGATAAATACACGGGAAATAAGAACATGGTCTTATGATATTTTGGTAAGAGTTTAAAGAAACAGAGATTTACGAAATATCGGGTAAATTGTTGGCGATTAGTAGGATAGTGTGTTAGGAAGTCAATAGTGGAAGACAGAATTGGTCAGAACGGGAAGACGTTTACCTCTCTGAACGCTATCAAGTGGGTCTATGTAGTGAAAAACAAACATGATTTACCGTTTTGCCGAGTGCAAACAAAATAGTGCTGAAATGATGAAGGGTATCTAGGCATGTCTCACACTATAGCAGGCGGCTTGGAAAGGGTAAGTTACCATACAACAACTGTCCAACTTGTTTTTCGAATACTTTAAGTGGGGGTGATGTAA